CCCCAAAACCCCAAAACCCCAAAACCCCAAAACCCCTTTCATTTTAAAATAAATTGAAAATGTTGAACTCTAATAAAACCCTTGAAGATGCCAGGCCAAGGAAGATTGTAGCAGTTGGTCGATCAAAGAATGTTTCAATCCCTTACAGAACTCCTGTGAGCAAAGGTATTTTGAACAAACTTAACTTTAATAGTCTCCAAAAAGTCCATCAAGCCATCCAAAAAGGCTTCCTACAGAAGCCATAAAAGCAAGGATTCTAATAATTTCTCACATTTGTGGGATTGGAAATACGGCAAGAAGACCTTGTCGTCGGTAATCTCTTCAAAAATAGAAAGCCAGAATTTGTCATGTAAATTGTCACTAAGTAGCTCAAGCTTGCACTCACTCAATAAATGGTTAGATGAAAAGCCAAGCCCCAAAAATAAAAATCAATCAAAACTCACAAAATCAAACACAAAAGAGAATCTAGAGGAGTGGCTCTAAAGCAGAAAATGGATTCTCTGGAAGCCACAAAAAGATCGAACAGCCAAGCTAGTAAGGCGAATACTCAGCCTAGACGACTTTCCTTAAACCAAGGGATTAATGCAACATTAGAACTCCTGGGTTCAAATCCCCCTCTAAAAATGTTGGAGAACCTCTTAGAGGAAGAACATAAAAGGAATGAATTATCAGCTCACAGAAAGGAGCAAAACTTAATCCAGATTAAACGTAATGTTGCGATGAAGGTACGTATCGAGGAGAAGAAATAACCACAAAATCGCGACTAAAAGACTAGAACAATTCTTCCAAGAAAATCTGAAGAATTTAGAAGCTCAGTATAGATCCCAAAGAGCTGATTTGTTGACTAAATCAGCCCAATTGACTAAAATATCTCGCTACATGATCCAGCAGGAACTTTACATTTCTAATATGGCACGAGTGGTGGTAGACAACCTTGAAAAAGGGAATGTACATCGTATCGATGATGGAAAGAACCCAGAAATGTCCCAAATAGTTAAAGACGGAGGTGAACTCAAGGTAAATTTTCTAATATATCCAATCTAGCCTTTGAAACTACAGAAGAGAGACATCAAGGTCAAAGGATTGTCGATGAAGCAAAGCCCTGTCTTCTCACAGATAGTTGTCTCTAAGAACAAACAAGAGCCATTGCAATCGCCTGTGAAGATCCTTCAACAAGTTCCAAGTATGTTCATCCAGTCATAAAATGTAGAGGGCAAGACTGAGCTTGAGTCTGAAGAGAGGATCAAAAAGATCCGAGCGGAAAGAAGGGAACTTATGATACAAAAGATGAGACAGCAAGAGATGGACTCTCTTCGTACAATCTCAGAGAAAGCTATTGACGATTTTAAAACAATTCATGCAGAGAACATTAAACTGAAACAAGAGATAGAAGACCTTAAAGCTGAGCACAAAAGGTTTAAAAACAGTAAGTGCCCCTGACACTTCCGTAGATGTCCATAAGGCATGATACAGGAGAGAGAAATAAGCTTGAGGACAAACTTGAATTGATCCAAAGCGAGTTTAAAGTTTGGCGTAAAATGTTCCAAAAAGAAATGAAGCTCAAAGAAGTCATCTACAATAGAACGATTAACTACAATAGTGTTCTTCTAAAAGAACTTGTTGTTGCGAAGAACATGCTGAAGGCGACTCAGAGGTAAGTTCTGATGGCAAAAGTCTTGCTGTTTACTACATAAATATCAAATGTTATATATAGATCATCAGAATTCAAAGAAATCGAGCTACCAGATGCTAAAGACGTCAATATTTATAAATACAGACCTGCTTCAAGTTTTAACGAGGCTCCGAATCTATCAAAATCTGTAACATTTGGAGAAAAGGTGCCAGACAGGAAGCGTAATAACACTTCGCTTGAAGTCAGCCTTAAAATCCCTCAGTTAAAGATGGAAAGAGTTGAATACCAAGGACGGAATTATCCGTCACCGAGGTTCAACTATTCTTCATTTGGAAGACACAAGGGTAAGACTTTAGATCCATTAAGAACTGTATTTAAAGGTATGGGGCCCTTAAAGTTTGAGTAGGATATGAGCTCGATACTATTGGCTTCCCTGGGCCAAAGCTTTAAGGGATTTCATATTAATTTGGGTATCTTGGATAATGCCTTCTGCTTAAAGAGGAAAGAGATTTATACATTTTATCAAACTTTATGTGGATTATCAGCAAGATAGTCTTTCACTATACATTTTATAGCATGTAGAATTTTGAAATTTTTCAATTTGGTATAGATGAAAGACCACTAAAAGGATGCCTGAAAGATTTAGTCAAGCGGTCTGTAAGAGGTCCTCTTGATAGCTTAAGAAGCTCCCTGAAAACCTCTTTCAGAGATCAGAATACGTGGAAGTATGTAGGGAATAGTTCAAAAACTTCAATTTAATCCAAAATCCAGGGGTTTTGGGGTTTTGGGGTTTTGGGGTTTTGGGG